GGAGGCAGTATGACCTCTGAAACGTTGGTTAACATCGACCAGACTACACAGCGCAATAACCCAGAAGACGGATATCTTCATACTCACCGCTGTGAGAACCTCAAGTCTTACGAAGTTGAAGCTGTTCTAGAAATAAGTGAGAGAATAGCAGATGGTATCTAAGATTAGAACCAAGTACCTTCTAAATACACTTCATTTGTATTACAACTGAAGTTGTGTATTTTGTGAGAAGTGTTTCAATTGAAATAATGAATCAAAACCTTTACGCTGCAGTATAATTTCTTTGTACCTTTCTCCACATTGAATTATAAAGGAAACACCTGTTTAACTTCCGTTGTCATTATTGTTTACAGAATAAAGCCGAAAGTGATGTTCATTACGTTGCACGGAATCCAGAAGTAGTGAGTGATTCGCCATTAGCTTCTGATACACTTTCATCTGATGTCAGATTTGAAGATAACAAAGGATCATCACCAGAACCTGTTGAGCTCATTGAGTCAGATGAGGATGAAGAAGATGAAGGTAGCAGGCAGTGTTTTTCTCAGTTCTTCTTACCAGACAATTTTATAATGCATTACTTGTAGAGTTTACAAGCTATTGCACAGTTTTGTGGCAGTCAGGGTTATTTCTGGGACAGAAACAGAATTTTAGTGTGAACACTATTCTCATAACCATTATTTCTGACATGGAGATGCTTAAAGATTGTTGTGCGGACATTAGGCAATATCAGATAATGGAGGATTTAAAAAGAAATAAAACATCATCTGTCAATAAACTCAGTTGATGTGGAAAGATCAAGGAAGATTTCTAATTACTCTTTCTAGTTTATTTTATGGGCATTGTTCAAGAAAAATAATTGTATAAATATCATTAATCATAATAAAATTACTGTTAATTATAAAAGCTTGAATTTGATAAAATACTGGTGAAAATTCCACTCACAAAACCAAATTAAAAGATTGTCTTAAAATAAAAACCCAGCAAAATTCTTAGCAAAAACAGAATTAGTAATACAATTATAATTAGTAAGGATTTAATGGAAGTTCTATTGATTATTTGACCCAAGTGTGTAGTTACATGAAAATGCCTTGAACAGGTAGAATCACGTTAGATCGTGACACAATGCAGGATTTCTAGTTGCGTAGTTACTGTCATTATATAATGTAGTGTCACCTTGTTTGTTTTCAGATGAAGGCGAGGAACAGCTATATCTTGTCCAGAGGCAGCAGTTAGGAACTCAAAGGGCGGATGAATTCTTCTTGGCGGTGACTGAAAGGTATGTGATCACCTTTATCATTTATTAGAAAAGTCATAATATATATTTTCCTGTCTCTCTGAAATTTGTGAATCACATTGTCTTCATGCTAGTGTCGTACATAACGTCTTTATTACATCCCATGGATTCATAAGTTAGATGACAATATGATGTGGAATAAATCTTAATAGTATATTATCTATTGTGCAAGTACAATTCATGCTATTATAAATATTTCACATAAAACTAGGGGTTTATATAAAGTAGTGTCATCTTATGAGTAAATCCTCCCATTACATGCAGTAGATAAATTATACTACCCATTTATATTATATGAAGACAAGAAAACAATGAACATTGTGACTAATTTATAAATGTTAAACATTTGTCTATGGAATATAAGGAGTGTGTAATTAAATATTGTTTTTATGCTACATTATATTGTGCCTTTTTATTTAGAAAGTTAGTGAGACTTGATTGTTATTATTATTAAGTGTTCTGTCTTACGACAGGTCCATTGCTCTGCCCAAAAAGAGCTCTCCAGTTGTCCCTATTCTCGGCTTCTCGCTTTAATTCCTGGAACGTCATCTTCTTTCCTTGTTTAAGGTCGTCGGTTAGCTGTATCAATCTTCTTCCCAGTCCTCGCTTTCCTTCAACCTGGCCTTCGATGATGTCACTCAGTAACCCCTTCCTTCTCATAATATGTCCCAGCCAGTTGTTAGCTTTCCTTCGTGTAATCGCCTGCAGAATGATTCTTTGCTCTTTGACTCTCCTCAATACTTCTTCGTTGGTCACTCGATCCGTCCACCTGATCTTCTCTATTCTTCTCCAACACCACATTTCAAAACTCTCCAGGTATTTCTGTTCCTTCTTCCTGAGTGTCCAAGTCTCTGCTCCATACGTAACACTTCACTAGTTTCTTCTTCATCTCCAAGCCCAACTTGCTAGTGAGAAGTATCCTCTTCTTGACGAAAGTACACTGTTAAAAATTTTTATGCCTCCATAATATGCAGTCTTTTTTTTAAAACATTAGAGGTTAGCATTTGGTTTATGAAGCTGATTCGTATTCTGTATGTTGACACTGCATATATCAGAATTAGTTTTAAAATGTTCTTGGTTGTTTACAGTGAAGTTCATTTATGAGAATATGTATTTACACAGAAGAGCTGTGACATCTAATCTGTATAGACTTCTATATGAATTTCTAGTTTAAACACCAGCAATTAACAGCATAATTGACAGTAGGCAAAATAAACTGATTTCAGTGTGTCAGTGTTGGTGAAATGCAACATAGATTAAATGCATAACTTGCTTCACTTAACTTAGGTGTCAGTTTTTCAGATTTGTCCAATTTAGATGGTTATCAGTATACTACTTTTTATGAAACCTTTGTAATAGTACATATATGAACAGGTCCCAGTCCAAGAAAAGGATGGAAGGATCCTGTTCATATGCACCTGTCGTCAGACAGAACACTAAATAATAATAAGATGAGGTGGTCTAGCGGTTAGAACGCTGGCCTTGTAATCCTGGGGGTCTCGGGTTCGAATTTATAACTTGTGTTG